TGTGGAATTTTTTTGCATTTTTTCAGACCAAATCAAGTTTTCCTAAATCATGAAATTATCTTTTTTTAGACTGGACCCTCTAGAATGAGTGTATATATATATTTTTTTTTTTAAATTTATTTATTCTTTTTTTTACAGGTTTCCGTTCAGGAAAGTCTAAAGTGAACCTAATATGGAAAAAAGACCTAAAACATTAATTTTCTGTTTTTTTTTCATTGTGAGGATTTGTTGTCATTTTACATTTTCTTTTACAGGTTTCCTTTCAGGATGAAGCTTAAAGTGAACAGAATATGGAGAAAAAAAAAACCCTAAAACATCCCCTTACTGCATTTTCACATATCAGAAAAGCTTTCCCAAATCGAAAAAACGAGCCCTTTACACTCCTATCCTCCAGATTTCACCACATTTGGGACAAAGTGGCATTCAAGTTGCCATAAAATGGGTGTTTTTATGAAGGTTTATCCAATGAGGAGCAGGCCCAGGACGATGAAGTTGGCTTCTGATTCGCTCGTCGGGTTTTTGCCTGAAAGACAGCTCAGATGACTCATTTAGATCAAGTTTTCCAAAATCATGAGATCTGTTTTAAGACTCTCGTGCCCTCCTCAGAGTCATTATGTGATCGGCTTCTAACAGCTGGAGGAGAAATCACCCCAAATGTGTCCTGAAAGTTTAATCCCGGACATTATAAATCGTTTTCCACACGGAGAAGGTGGCATCTTTTTTTCCTCTGCCAGTCGGGTACAGCTGACTATTCTGGAAATGTCTTCTTTGCCAAATAAAATCAGTTCTCAGTCTGAGGAAATATAAAAAGTTTTTCATTCTATGGCTTAAGTACACAGGACTAGTTTCTGCTTTTCCTGTTGAAAGAAATCCTTTTTTTTTGGCCAAAAAGGGGGAGTTTTGAACAGTTTTAATGCTGAACTCATAACATATGAACCATGTAAAGCTCCCGAGTAGTTTGCCCTCTTTTACTATTTATCCATTTAGAAATAAACCTCCCATGTTGAATATGGACAGTTTCTAAAGAAAGAGCAAAGACGAGCACAAACTGTTCACAGATAAAGAATATACATGTGCTCAAAAAGTGATAAACAAACAGAAAACTGGCTCCAAAGCGTCGGAGCTCTTGGGCTGAAAACCTTTGTGTGATGGAGGAAAAAAAAAGACAAATGTGGACATTGAATGGAGAGCTGGAATAGAAGAAATCTTTCCAAATGCGTTTTTTGAAGATATTTTGATTGGCTGTGAAAAAAAAAAGAAAAGAAAAAACTACACGCTGAACTAAAAGGAGACGTGAAAAAAGGAAGGAAAAAAAAGGGAAAAAAAAAAGAAAAAAAAAACAGAAAGAAAAGGACAAAAAACAAGACAAAAAAAGGAAAAAAAGACAAAAAACAAGGAAAAAAAGGAAAAAAAACAAGACAAAAAAGAAAAAAAGGGAACAAAAAAAAGAGAGTTGTGAAAAAGGGGAAAAAAGAAAACCAAAGAGCCG